TGTACCAATCCAGGCATATACCGGAGAACGTAGATGGGAAGGTTCTGCATAGCGCTGCGTTGGAGTTTGTCTGGAGTTGCATCCGTAAGCAGAAGGTGCTTACGTGGTCTTCAGGATCAGTCGTCCCGTTATATGTTGGGAGGGTGGGTGGCATTCCGCTCAGGTGTTCCGCCATGATTTCCGCGCTCAGTGGTTGGTGGAGCGCCTTCTTGGGTGGGTTGGATCGGTATTGCGGGGTCAGGTGCTGCTCCAAGAAGCTGAGGTCCGCTCTTCCTGGCAGCTCGGTCTGTTGCGCTTCACACGCAGGAGGATCCGGCGCCGAATGTTGTGGCGGCAGGGCTGTTCCTGACGCTTCTCCAGGCACCTGTTGTGGCGCTCTGGGCGCCGCCTCTACTATTGTCACGGCTTCCTTGCTCATCGTGAGCTCTATGACTTGGCTCATTTGTTTCCGCATGTCGGCTATGACGTCATTTTGTTTTGCCATCAGCTGCCTCATTTCCTTGGCGGTCAACTCGGGCTCTTCTTCTTCGATGAGCACCGCGCTTAGGTTGGTCATTGCTTTGATAGGCATTGCTTCGTCAGGTAAGTCTTGGTTATGATCTGCCATGTCTCTGCTTTCCTTTGTTTCTCTGCTTGGCCCCACGGTGGGTGCCAATTGTTTGAACCTAGCTGGGTGTAGGAGGTAAGTTCAAGGAAGAAAGTGAGTCAAGCAGAATAAACGGAGGGTGATCAATGATCTCCTGTTGGATATGAATCAGAGAGAATGGAGTTGGGAGAACTGATGGTTTTTAGAGAGAGAAGTCGATGTTGTTGAGATAGAATGTCGTAGAATCGATCCCCTTCACCCACCGTAGTAAATGCCATATTTATAGGCTACATGGTGGTGGGTGAGTGGTTGGGTTACATGAGGGTACAATGATGTGACTACTGACACGAAGGGGATTTAGGCCATGCCTCTACCTAGGACATGTCAGAGACTTATCTAGGACTGTGCTTAGGACCTTGATGTGACTACTCCTCGGGGAGTGCAACGACGCTTTCAACATCTCTTTGGTTTGGTCTACGCTTTGACCTTCTCGCGTGCGCGTAGCCGTGACGCGCTCAAGGGTTTCGCGCCGAGGAATGCTGAGGTGACGCGCTCAAAGGACTCGCGTTGATCCGCGCTGGGACTCTTCGTGGTGAGGCGCGCTGGGTGTCTTTGGTGGCGGCGCGTTCTCCTGGCGCGGCTAGGTCCGAGTCACATGCCCAACAGTTAGCATTGTGCTAATACTGGCTACAACCAATAAGAACATTCCGTTTTAATAACTTTTATATTTCAATGGGATACCGCAATTAATGTTAACTTATAAAGGGAGGGGCATGCTTGTCATTATTAAAATTTGGGGGATAATGCATAGTAAATAATACTAGCGTCGTATTCCATAGGGTCTTTTATAGTAACTACTCAAATCTAACTACTTAAATTGAGTATGCAATGCAAGGCATGAAGATTGTTATACCTAAGATTTTACACGTAAATTTTTATTATAACACTAAACAAATCTACTATATCATGAAGTAGGGCTGGCAAATCGATTGTCGGTTAGCGGTTAGCCGCCGGTTGTAACCGAAAACCGACTAACCGAAAACCGGCAAAAACCGACCTCAGTCGGTGTTCGGATGCCCATCAGAGAGCTTCGGTTAGCCGAATAACCGGGAATGATTAACTGCGGCTAACCGGAGAACTTACCCTCATCGAAAATCCCCTTCTCCCCATCCCAAAACCGCAGAAACCCTTCACCCCCAAATCAAATAACCTAATTCAACGACCCTTCCACTCCCCCATCTCCCCAATCTCGCGCCACGCCGCGCCAATCCGTGTAGATTGATGGTAGTTGTGAGGGTAGAGAAATAGATCTCGTGAACAGAGAGGGAGGATGAATGATTTTTTGGGGAGAGGAAAGGGTAGAAGGAGATGAATGATTTTTTTGGGGAGAGGAAAGGGTAGAAGGAGATGGGAACAGGGGAAGGATCGAGGAAAGGGTAGAAGGATCGAGAAAGGGTAGAAGGAGATGGGAACAGGGGGAGGAGGAATGATTTATTGCTCTTACCACGGTTAAGCCCACCCAGAACCGAAAACTGGTCGGTCGGTGGTCGGCTAACCGTGACTCCCTTCACGGTCGATCGTCGGCAGACATAGGGGACGACTCGGTTTAACCAAAAACCAACCGACTGCCACCCCGATCATGAAGTCAACAAAGATATATTCAAACCCATACCCGCCCAATTAGTCCATAAGATAGCGTACAATATTTTCCATATCATTATTCTCTAACTCTGATACATCTACTAAGTAATAATTTAATAGCTTAATTTGATTAACAAGAGGGTCAGTGAAAAAATGAAAGGAGAATTGAGAGAAAGAAATTATGTTTTGATTGAGGTGGCTATCACCCACTCAATTGCATTTCTACTATTTATTTTCTTAAGTTAGTTTTACTATCATTGATAGATTACAATTTTATCCATGTATTTTTTATATGTTAAAAAATATTTTCTTTTAAAATTGAACACCACTTTCCTCTCATTATTTTACTGTCCTAAAAGTTTCACTCCCTCTGTACATTTTTCTTTCCTCCCCATCTTTCGTGAAAAGAAGGTCGAGTCAGACCGGGCCCGTGGATATTTAGGGCAAGCTTACACCCCCTAGTAGGACTAAATACAAATGATTTTCCTCTTACTTTGAAAATACAAGGATCTTACACAGCTTGAATGGATTTTTTTTATATATATGGGGAGTTCCACAGTACCCAGGGTGAAATCCGGGGTACCGCATACCTTGAGTAAGAAAACGCTATCCAGAACTTTGAATTGACTGATCTTTCGGACATGATACTATACTCTAACCCTTAAAGATCAAAATCTATGTCTTAATTTTCTAAATCTTATACCCCAAGATCAATTTAATTAGAAACAATAATCGACGGTAGGGGTGGCTATACGGTCCGGTCCGGTTAAATTGGCCCAAATTGATCCGGTCCAGTCCGGTTTTTTTGAGAATATAAGGACCGAAGATTGGATTGGATACAGTCCGGTCTTGACCCGGTCCGGTCCCAATTCGGTCTTGATTTTATATTGAGATTGTGGGAATTTGAGTGGCCTAAGGCCTAAAAGGGTGAGGAGTTGGTTAAATTTTGTACTAAGTGTAAAGGTTTCTGACCGTTTATGCAAATTACCCTTAAGTTTTGGGTGTTGAGCTCTCTTATCCGGTCTTTATCCGGTTCTTTACCTCAAATCTAAACCCAAAGATTGGATTGGATTGTTTACTATCCGGTCCCGGTCCGGTCTCGGTCCTGGTTATACGGTCCGGTTTCCGGTTTTTCATCCGGTCCCGGTCCAAATAGCCAGCCCTAATCGACGGTTATGATTCATCCTAATATAGGCAAAAAAATAAATGCACAGCTTAGGGTTTATAGTTTATGATTTAGATAATTAGGACCTAGGGTTCACTCATTAAGAGTTAGGGTATATTATCATGCCAAAAAAATCCTGCAAATTTGATGTCTAGATAGCGTTTTCATAGTCAAGGTATGCGGTACCCCGCATTTCACCCGGGGTACCGTAGAAGGCACCATATATATGTTTTGGACTAGTGTACTACAGGAGTATACTATACTTCAGGTGCTTTTAGTGAGATATCTCATTCTTGACCATGATTTTAACCGAGTTTCGGGTATGATATTATACCCTAAACTCTAATGGATAGACCATAGGCGCCGGTTCTGTAAACTCAAACCCAAAGTTCAATTTAATTGAAAATATATAATTGACCGTTGAGATTGGTCGGAGCTCAACAAAGTACATCTAACGGCTAGATTGTTGTGGCGATTGCAAAAGAATTGAGGTGGCAAAAAAAAGCACCAATACAATTACTTTTACGAGTGTATTGACGTGGATGATGTAATATCCGCTACAAAAAAAAACTAGTAATTATAAAAACATAAAATCTAAAATATTGATATTAATAGTAAATAAAAAGAGATGACGTGGCTAGTTTTGCAGCCATATTTGTATTTGATATGCAACATTTTAAAGATGAAATTGCCTTCTTATCAACAACATCAATAATGAAATTTGCATAATTCAATTGCATGAGCGTGTCAGATATACAATTCCACTTGAAATCCCATTAAATTGTGCCCTCAATAGGAAGTAGTAAGCTAGCAGTTTTATGAACGTACGTAGGCGTCTCTCTCAGATTCCCCGAGCCGGCATAAGCAAAGGCCAAATCCGGCGGACACAAATAGGAAACCGCAGAATTCATCCCCACAAGAGAAAAGAATCCATTTAGTAGCCGAACGGTGATTAAACAAGAGGAATCCCCACATTCTTGTACACCTTAACGAGGCTGATCAAAACAGATTCATTGATCTTTCTTCATGTTATCATGTTTAACATTGGAACATATGAACAGTATCGCAGGTCGTGATGAGATGTGCGTCCTCCCTTACACTTTGATATTGTAGTAGGAACTACATATGAAATAGAAATTTTATTTCGTGAATGTCGTGGAACATTGCAACGTCCCCGAATCGGTTTGGTATGTAGCCGATCGAATAATGGCATGATTCCGCCCTGCAATTTTTAATCCTATTTCTTCTGTTAGAACTTCCGTCGGTAATTAAGTAAGGCATCTGTTAGCTACCCATTGTCGTCAACGGAAAAAAGAATAAGAGATCAGCATTTCACAGCAACAAAAAAAAAAAAAATGTACTATATTAATGTTCCAGACTTTCAGCCATTCAACTCATAAAAAGGAAACAATAATCCATCCATTCTGAGCGCAACCCTTCCATTTTTTTTATTTCTTAGATATGGAAAATCATGACATTTTCTCTGTCGGTCATTCGTCACCGGGACAAGATCCTCCTAGGCCCGACAAAGCTCAAACGATAGTTCCCTTCCATACAGGTGATGAACAGAAAATCAACGGCAAGAATCATGCTTGTATACATCTCGAATCACGTGAAACTCCAGGCAGTAACAGAATTAATCTTTGTACCCTTCCACCCAACCATCAACCCCTTCCCGTTCATCTTAACCGTACACGGCTTCCAACACGGCACCTTCCTAGCCACCAGATTCGCCTGGTACAACGACAACGGGCTCATCTCTTCCTCCACCATCCCCATCCGACGAAAATACGTCCTCCAAACGTCCACCTTCATGCTCCTGACGATCCTCTCTCGCCCGTCGATTGCCGACACAATCTTGCTCGACTCCCCGAACAAAGTCGCCTCCCCGTACTTCCTCGTCGGCTCGTCCCTCCCCATGCAATCCTCCATGCAGTCGAAGAACGCGCTGGCGTAGAACAGCGACTCCACGAACCGGTTCACGAACACGGGCGAGTTCATGTTCCCTTCTACCTCCCCGACCACCACCACGCACGGTTTTAAACTCCGAACCGCTCGGATCAGCGAGTCGAGCCGGTCGAGCGGTTCGGCCAGGGTGTTGAACACGTATTCAGCCATCACGGCAACGGACTGGCCCGACTCGATCCGCACATGGGCGCGGCTCAGTTGGGCCAGGTCGGGGACCACCACGGATTCGAAGACGCACGGCAGGCCCAAGCCTTCCGCGAAGCCCACCAGCCCGTTTCCCATTTGCTCGATTCGCTGCTCCCCGACGGTGGACACGGCGGTTATTTTGAGGCGCTGGACGCGCCGCCGCGTCGGCCGGGACGCCAGGGCTTGCATCAGGATGGTCCATTGTTGTCCGTTCTTGATCGCGAGATCGACCACGTGGATGCACCTGGATCCCTCCAGGTGTTCCACGATGGCTTGGATCCCCGCGAACTGCGCGACCTGGGAGAAGGGAATCCTCCTATGGAACTCTGCCAGCTGGATGCTCGGAGTCATCACCGCTTTGTACAGATCGGACGACTGCTCTCTGGCCACGTCTCGCGACGAGGCGGTCCGCCCGGTTTCCCGGTCGATCCGGTCCGTCAAGGCGCGGGAGTAGTAGAAGACCAGTCTCTGGATCGGGTTCCCCGCAGGGGAGGACCGCACGTGGCATCGCTGGAGCAGTGCTCCGGCGGTGTCGAACTGACGGTCGGCCGCATTCTCGGCGGCTTCGAGGAGGATTCGAGTCAGCTCGACGCTCTCGGACTCCTCTTCCGAGAGCGTGACGTCGTGGAATGCACCAGACGACATCATGACGTCGTGGTGGTTCGAGTGGGATCCCACGAACTGTGATGCTGCGATCCGGACCAGATCCTCGACGGACAATGCAGCACCAACCGGCAACATCGATTGCGGAGGATCTTCAATTGCTCCTGACTGAAACGAGGACGCGATTTGTGCTACACGTTGATACAGGATGATGTCGTTCTGCTGATAGCTCAGGTGGGCTAGAGGGTCGGACTCCAGGATGCACAGCCCTTCCACCTGGTCAGCGTCAGCAGCTAGCGGCAGGTGGGAGGCATCCACATGATGAAAGGTGTGGGACAGCGGGAAAGGGATGAATTCATCATGTGTGATCGGAGCTCCACCGCAGATGCCGGAATCGGATACTTCAAAGTCATGATTTTCCATCGCTGAACAAGGACGAAAATAAGGTTTTTTATTTTGTTTTGTTTATGATAATAATGGATAACTGCAATTTTACTCCCTTCTTAATGTATAGTGTGGGAATTTTGTTCGTTGATGATGGAACGTTTTTCTATTTGGCCTTTACTGTAGGATCGGCTAGATACGGCTACTAGATGGGGATTCCCTTTTGCTCTGTGTACTATTTACTATAAGAAACTCGAAAGGGTGTGGAAAATCCACTAGGCAGATATGAACCTGTGCGCAAGCCGGCCGAAGGAGTCATGAGAAGAGAGACAATGAAATACTGTTGTGCGATGAAATCATTAGTGGTTTTGGATGCATTCGTTTGTATCTAAATGACGCGGTAGTTTGGTGGGAGAGTCTAGCTAGAGATAACTACTGAATTCTTTGTGCATAGAAGACAAATGCTCCACAATATTCGGTCGACCATTGCGACACTGACAGATTCTATAGCGGAAGTATATTCGTCGGATTCAACTGAGTGATTGCGACTCCAGCCGATTGTGGTTAGATTAAAACAGGGGAAAACATTTAAAGCTATGGAACTCCTTCGTATGACCAATGAGGCCATGAACAAAATTCCAACGACAAGAATCAGGCTTGTGTACATCTCAGAATCACATGAAACTCCAGGCAGTAACATTATTAATCTGTGTCCCCTTCCACCCAATCATCAAACCCTTCCCATTCATCTCAACTGTACACGATTTCCAACACACTGAGAATTTTAGGCAACACGTGCTACAATTCCAACTACACATGCCAACAAGCACCACATTTTCATCAGTCTCACATTCTCCCAAATCTCATTGACTAATTAAGGGGTCGTTTGCTTCAAGGATTTGGTACCAAAAAATCAACTATCAAGGATTTAGGTACAATCCGTTGTTTGCTTGCACATTTTTTGGAGACCAAATCTGTGGGGCCCACGGATTTTAAGGGTCCAAATCCGTGGACCCCACGGACTTATAAATCCCACATGTTGATGTGGGATTTGGAATATGGCATAAATCCTTGATGAGATTTTACCCATATACCCTCATGCACTTTTAATATTCCAAGGTTGCCCTCAAATTTAACTATTATACATTATAATTAACAATAAAATGAATAATATAAACGTTCAATTAATGTGCAAACATGAGTTAGATTTTTTATATCATTTCTTGTGTTCTAGTTTTCTTTGACCTTTTCATGGAACGTGTAATTCTTTGTTCTCCCGATTCTAATATATGTTGTTATATGTCACTTTTGAAAAGGAGGACAAAGAATTGGTAATTGATTATGCTACGTTAAAAGTTAAAACAGAATTTTCTCGTTTATTATTATTGTCCATGTGGCAACATTATGCTTATTAGTATGTATTGTCCTTATTTTGTGTACATATCATAAACATATAAACATGTCAAACATATAGAAAATGATAGTAAGGTAATTTTGAAGTTTTGTCCTTGTTTTGTGTACATATCATAAACATGTCAAACATATAGAAAAGGGCAGTAATGTAATTTTTTACTTCAAGTAGTAAATCCCATACCTTTAAATCCATGATAAAAACATCCCAGCAAACAAAGGATTGTTACAAATCCATGATGCCTCAAATCCTTGATAAATCCTTGGGTTTTTAAATTACAAAACCTTCATTTTTAAATCCATGAAACAAACGACCCCTAAGTAGTTGTTATGAAATGGAGTGCATAAAATGGTATAACATGCATTTATTGCAACAAAAATGTAACATGCATTAGAAAGAAATAATTCAGAAATCTCCAACGCCATAGACGCGCCAACTGGTGATGAGGAGCCATTTGAGAAAAACTTCATGACCTTAGGTGCATGCAGAATACTATATAATTTTATTAATTTTTCAAGTAAATTAACAATATATAGTGTTTCATTGATGCTAGTCGTTAATTTAAGCGAATAATTAAACGCTAAATACATATAATTTCAAGGATAGTAAAATTTACAATAAAATTATATTGGAGAAAGTAAGTAATATATTGGAAAAAGTAAGTAATAAGATATATTTTATATTAAAACTATAATTTAAATTCTCTCGTTTCATACTTCTAAAAACGGACTCCTAATGAACGCGGAGCGCCCCAAGAGACACATCTCAACTTCATCTCTCTGCACGTACTATCATCAAGGACAAGAAACAATCCTGCATGTGTTGCATGATTGCACATTTGACTGGTTAACTTGAAAGCTGCTTATTCAACCTTCTGAATACCAAAACTTCTTCAGAATGCAGTTATAGAATGGAATCCAGAGCCAGTTGAAGGATCCACACACCAACTTTAATTTTGGAGCCATTTGTTGGTCCCTTTGGAGGAATTGGAAAGATTGTATCTTTGCAAACAAGATCATCTCAACTGAAGTTTTTCTACTGGGCACACAGAATGGATTCAAATTTTGTGGAATGCCTTGGATAAGGATCGACGTGTCCACATGTAGACTCCGCCCATGAGAACAGAGGCGTTGATCTCATGGGTCACTCTCAACTTTGACGACTCAACCCATCCTTCTTCAGGCCATGTCTTAGCTGGTGGTTTGATTTGAGATCATTTAGGACGTTGTTTATCAGAGTTTGTCCTAACGCTTGGTGTGTGTTCCATTACCCGAGCGGAGTTGAGAGCGCACATTAGATGGGTTGTAGTTGGCTTGGGACCTGAGGTACTGTCGTATCCATGTCCAAATGAACTCCAAGTGTGCAGTTCACCTTCTTCTTCGAGAGGATGGTGATGTCCATCGTCACTTAGCAGCGATCAGTCGTTTCCCGGCCCTCCTGAGCCAAGACTGGCAAGTGGTCGTTTCCCATATTTACAGAGAGGAAAACAAGTGTCCTAATTACATTGCTAGCCGAAGACATTTCATGTCCCTTGGTTTACATGTTTTCCTATTTCCAATCCTACTTTGTGTAACTGGATTATGCAGCATTCAGAAGATTTCGGAACCCATCTTGGTTACGAATGATGGTTAGAACGCACTGCGTTTATTTAGAGAGAAAAAAAATCGAAGTATCAACGTTAAATAAATTGAATTGATTTTCTTAAAAAAATTGTATTTGTTGTTGAAAAAAGTGGATATAAATGTTAGCAAAGAAAAAAGGTTAAAAGTAGGCAGCATGATAACACTTCCTACGCCAGGTAATAAACATAGATGGTGTGGCTGTTGATGTGACTTGAGCCACGTAAATCGTGTGTCGTGTTTTTTGATTCTCGCTTTCGTATTCTTGCTTTATCGATTCCGGCGATTTTCCGATCCATAGCAGCGCGTTTATAACAAGTGGTATTAGAGCCGCGGCTGGAAAGCAGGCTAGGGTTTTCGATTCAGAAGAATGACGTCGGTGAACATGAAGATCGAAAAGTTCACGGGGAAGAACAGCTTCGCTATATGGCAGATCAAGATGCAGGCTTTATTAAAACAGCAAGGGCTGTGGGGGCCGCTGTCTGCGAAATAGAAGAAGGCAGCGGTCGATGACGATGAGTGGAATACCCTGGAGGAGAAGGCCCACTTGACCATCATGCTATCATTGTCTGATGACATCATCATTGAAGTCGCTGCTGAGAAGACTGCCGCTGGCTTGTGGTTGAACCTAGAGAGTCTGTACATGACTAAGTCTCTAACCAACAAGCTGCATCTCAAGCAACGGTTGTTTATCTTGAGGATGCAAAAAGGTACGCCTTTGAGGGACACCTCGAACAGCTTAACTCTATTTTGCTGAATCTGCGTAATATGGATGTTCAAGTTGATGACGAGGATGCTGCCCTAATCCTACTGGTTTCTTTGCCGAGTTCATATGAGAATTTTGTTAATTTTTTTATTGCTGGTAAAGAAAGCGTGTCGTTGGAGGATGTCAGGTCTGCTCTTCAAACGAGAGAGATCAGGCATAAGGCGTTTGGATCTGATACAGGTGGTGAGGCATCGGGTTTGGCTGTTACATGTGGAAAGGGAAAGAAGAAATCTGGTAAAGAGAATTCGAGCAAGAATTCCAAGGGTCCCAGTCTACAGCCAAATGATGCTTGTCACAACTGTAAGGAAGTGGGGCATTGGAAGTACAACTGTCCCAGGAGAAGAGGGAAACAGAAGAAACAAGGTTCAGTTGTCGTGGCAGAAGTGGACAACAGTTCTGAAGACGATCTCGCATTGGCTGTAGATGAGAAGGCACATCGTGGGGATGTGTGGTTTCTGGATACTGCAGCCTCATACCATATGTCTCCGAACAGGGATTGCTTCACAACCTACGAGCAGATAGATGGTGGTAACGTGGTCATGGCAAATGGAGCTGTCTGCAAGGTTGTTGGATTCGGGTCCATAAAGGTTCGGACACATGATGGTTCGTTCTGTACCGTGAATGATGTCAGGCATGTTCCACGAATGACAAAGAACCTGATCTCCTTGAGTCCACTCGACAGCAAGGGCTTCAGCTTCAAAGGAAAAGGTGGATTTGTGTATGTCTGCAAGGGTTCGAGGAAGGTACTGAAGAGCGTGAAGCGTGGGACCGTGTATGCATTACAAGGGTCTGTGTTGTCTGGTTCTGCTGCAGTTGCGTCGTCTCAGGTTCATCAGGAAGATATGACCACTCTCTGGCACATGAGACTGGGGCATATGAGTGAACGAGGGATGCAAGTTCTGTCGAAGAGGGATCTTCTTTGCGGGAACAAGGTGCAGAATTTGGAATTCTGTGAGCATTGTGTGTTTGGGAAGCTACATCGCAGCAAGTTTCCCAAGAAGGGTATCCACCGGACAAAGGGGATACTGGATTACCTCCACTGGGACTGTTGGGGTCCTTCACGAGTTGAATCCATTGAAGGCAGCAGGTATTTTCTGTCTATTATTGATGATTATTCGAGATTTACTTGGATTTTCATGATAAAGCAGAAAAGTGAGGCTTTCAAGAAGTTCAAGCACTGGAAGACATTGGTGGAGAATCAGACCGGTAAGAAGATCAAGAAGCTGCGAACGGGCAATGGTCT